AAGGCTAACCCACGCAGGATTTTGCGCTGAGCGTGAAAACAATATCGTTTCAGTTTTTTTTGGGGGGAGGACACGCAGAACAGCTTGACCATGAGGTGTGTGTGCGCATACTGAGTCAACCAAATTAAAACTTTACCACTGAAAAAAATTGCAAGCAAAAGTTCAAGGAACCCACAGGACCGTATAGATAAACGCGTGTCAGGCAGAAATCACCATACAAAATAATTGCACAAAACCACAAGCTTCCGTTGCAAAACCATCACCTATTTGTCATTGAAAATGTCACGTTGGAGGTCATCAAAAAGACAGTGGTTCAATAATCTTGCTTTTGTCAAGGGGTTTTGCAAATATATCTAGCTATAACATCGCCAGGGTACCAAGCATGTCAAAAAAATTGAAATAGTTCGATATCGGAAATCGTGAGTGTGCCGTTCCAGACTGCAACGCAAAACCATAGAAGTTGAAGGGAAGTCCAATCTTTCACAGCATCTCTTGCCCTCCATGCTCTGTAGCTTCTAGAAACCGGCATTGCACAGAGTTATCATCACCAGATTGTCAGCAACTTTTTATCTCCCCAGACCCACATGTGTGCGCGCAGATGCGCTTGAGCACCGGCCTAAACCTGGGGGGTTTGGCCCTGAAAATGGCATCAAATCAAATGGAAAAAAAATTCGTCACGCCAAACCTTTCAAGGATTTGAAGGTCTTTGGCACTGGTGCCTACTCAACTTCAACCATGATCAAACAAAAATTGAAGTTCCGAATTGGCACAGGATGTGGTTTCAACTGGCAAAATTGAAACAAAAATCTGCCATATGGCATGAAAGTGGTGAACGCTCCAGAGTTGATCATAAGTTATGAAACTGTCACCCTTGCAATCACACTGACGACTTGGAATAGTGCCGCTTGTTTTCATGGCGCAGCGACACGGAAACACGACTCATGGATGATCGGGGGTGCGAATCTATTTTTTTTCGCCGAAATGTGCAGTGATCAAAGATGCATGCTGCAGCTATTGGTTCCCCACGGTGAATGTGCGCAAATTGCCACACGGTTGTGCGCGAATCACAAAAACAACGCCATGGCAGTGCAGGGCCGAGTTGGAATGCAACATTGTTTCTATGTAAAAAAAAGGTCCTGGACGATTTGAATGTGTTTGAAAATTGTTCTGGAAAACGTCAAAGTCCTATACTTGTTCAAAATGTCAATTTTGGAGGTATTCCTGGAAATGGATCACAGCCTTTGTTTCCCATTTGAGCGGGTCACATTTCTGTTTACAAACCAAAAACAGAAAACCAAAAAAATTGTTTCTGAAATGTATGCGATGTGACATCCTTCACTGGAATATGCGGAATTTACCAGTGGTATTTTTTTTGATTCCGGTCCTGTGCTCTTCCATTGTAAAACAAGGCGCGTGGACGTCCATTGTCCGGATGCCTAGCCAAAATAATTGTGTTGTCCAGATCATTTTTGTGGGAATCGTTTGAAGTGTCGAGAGATAGGGATTCAGTTGATAAAACATGAAAATTCTTTGCAAACGTACGTTGAACAATCATAAAAATCATCAGTCGACATGTTGGATTGGAAGAAATCAACCATTCCATCAGTCGCAACCTGCGGACCAAGGCTTGCACTTGTATTTTTCGTGTCCTGGGCTCAGCTGACAAAAATACAGGAAAAAACACACGCAATCATTCTTAGTGTTCGGTCCGGTTCATCAGACGCAACCAAATTGAAATCTAGAGTGCAACAACTGTTGTTCAATAGCACGTTCATCCAGGTTTTGTTCTGTATTGCCTTATGGCATTGTTCGCAGAAACATCCTTGTCCACCGTTTTTTTTCGGTAATTTGAGGTTTGAATTTTGACAGTTTGCATTGGAGTGTCACTTGGCAAGGCTTCTAGCGGCACCGTGCTTCGTTGGCTCCATTTGGAGGAAATATCTACCTTTGACACTCGTTTGTTTGTTTTCTATTTTGTCACCCCGCAATGTCGTGGGCAAAATTAGTAACTTAGTTACAGTGCAACAAATGATCCGTTGCATTTAAAATTTTGAATGAAATACAAAACTATAGGATTCTATCTTTAACAGTTCAACTCAAGATTTAGGGATCAATCCTTTCATTCACCCTCACCATCCCTCACCACAATGCAGTGATATCCTGACCTGTTTTCGCGTTCTTGTAGGTCAGTGCATTGGTCCTTACATTTTTTTTGTATTCATGAACACTTCATTGGTGTGGGAGTGGTTCACCGTTGGTTTGTCAGCCTTGAAAACCGTCTGCGGAACCGGAACGCTGGAACCCTGGAACCTGTTGATGGGTTGCAAAACTGGATCAACTTACTGGGTGCATGATTTGTTTCCCGGTTCTCAGGTTTTGAAGTGTTGTGTTCACAATATGAATCAGAAATTATTTTTTTCGGAGTTGGGCCGAGCCAATGACCATTGCATTGTGGAACTCTAGGAGAAGCCATGGCTTGGCAAGCCAAGCGAAAGGCTGGTGGCGTAAGGGGAAGTTAAGTCTTTTACGGCAAGGGAATCATTCTAGTGGTGCAAGGGGTGGCAGTCTAAAGCGGTTGTCCAAACCACATCAATGCTTGGAACATTCAACGTGAACTGTTTTTTGTGGTTTCCAGATGATCATGACGAATGTCATTGATCTCTGCTTGAGTTTTGAATCAGACTCTCAGATGGCTCCTGTTGTTATATAATTTGATGTCACTGCACCTCTCTATATCGATTCTTGTCCTATGCACCCTGGAGCTATGGCTATGGTGTCAAATGATCTGTGTGACCGCAGGTTCAGGCGAACCTGAAAATGAAGCTCCCGACACTTGGCTCCAGAAAGTCTCGTTGTGTTGTGATTCAGTGGCATTTCTTTTTCTGTTTTTTTTTCCATTGCTAAGCGCAGTTGTGCAGTCCAAAGTCTAAGGCCATGATTTTGGAGGAGGAATTCAGACGGGGAGAAACTCTGGAAAGCGAAGCTTGGTTGCACCGGAAGACCATCGAAATCATCGAAATCCCCAGCGGTGACCTAAGGAATTCCAAAGGGTCCTGGAGGCGACGGCGCTGTGCATGGCCTCCTTCACTCGGGACTCAGAACTGCTGTATTATTGCTTGCTTCTTGTGATGCTGTTGTTTGTGACCATGTTTGCTCTGAATGCAGAAATGTGCATGCTCAGATTCGCAGAGTATAGACATAACAGGGGAGCCGAGTTTTTTGATGAGCAGAGCCAATTCCAAGGTTGTCTTCCTGTCGTTTTTGGGGTTTGTTTTGGGCTTTTGGCCTTCGGTTTCTCAGTTTTGTGCTTCCCAGTTTTGAGTTTTTAGCTTTTGCCCCGTGGCTTTCAGTATGTCTCGCCTTTTTGATGCTGGTTCCATCAGGTTCCATTCTGTTTCGGCCTTTTTGTTCCGGCCGTTGGTTTTGGCGGCTTTTTGAAATCCAACCCCGCAAGCCTAGGGTGAAGGTTTGGAAAGAATGAGGGAACCTTTCCAGGAAGAGGATACTAGTTTGTTTAGTGGAATCGAATGAATCACTTGATATCAAGTGATTGATTGCGTACAGAAGCAGTTGACTGACTGTCTTTTGAGAATGAGTGGACCTTGACAGCGGGACTCCCACCCGAGCTCCGACCCAAAAGTACAGCGTTCTGTGCACTTCCTTGCTTTTGGTGATCGGGAACTGAGATTAATGGATTTCGATTTTCCGTGTTGCCACAACACTAGCTGTCGAATTCGATGTTCGACAGCTTGGATGCAGGCACGAAAGAGAGGTACTGACAAGCGAGATCCAGGCAAATCCACCAGTTGGGATGACACGTGGGATGCTTTTGGGAAATCAACGTCTCAAGCAGAAAGAATACAGAATGGGAGGAAAAAAGTACATTCGCAGCACTTCGGCAAAATATTGAACTTCAGTTGTATGAAAGAAAAATCCAGGAACGGACCAAAGGCAAGTGCTTTCCGATTCTCATAGTGTTCTTGGCAGGCCTCAAAGAAAAGAACGAGTTTGAGGCCTGGAAGTTTGAAGAATTGTGCATCATGGTCTCACAATCTGCTGTTTCGTCGTGCATGTTCCGATGTTTATTGCGATGGACAAAGCTTGTTCGGCAAGTTCTGATTTTTTTTTTTCTCTCTCTCTCTCTCTCTCTCCCAATTCAATTTTGCAGATCTATGCACAAACAATACCAGAGAAGAAGTTGAGGGGGCAGGAAAAGAAAAATTGAGGCTACACTTTGGCTAAAAGGATCAGTCGATCATTGAATGTTGAATTTCAGTTTCATTGGTTGTGGCATTCGTGTCCCAAAAGCAGCGACTGTTGGGTTCTCTGGGTCTGGGAGTGGTAACCTCGGAACCTGTTGTTGGGTTGCCAAGCTGGCAAAAAATTGTTGCGTTCTGCAGATTGCAGGTTGTCATGCGCCGCGCACAAGATGCAGCGTCGGCAATTGATTTCGGGAACGCTGTGACATGGGTCTGTACCTGCTGTGCACTAGATGCCATAGAAGCAATATTGTTGGATCAGTATTATGAATCTTTTGTACGTGGTTTCCACTGATTTGCTTCTGGAATTGCTTGGAGAGTTTCTGTTCCAAAGCTTTGTGGCCTATCAGCCAATCTTCCAAGCAGTACCTGCAAAAGGTTCACCATCCCAGAGAGTCCAAAAAATGCAACACACTTAGCAACAATTTTCTCTTCGTGTTTTCCGAAGGCCTATCCTGCATTAATGTGAAGACCAAGAGCCTTCGGCACCTTTTTCTTACTGTACCAAGATCAAGAGTGGACTGAAACTGCAAGTGGTTTTCGAACATTGTTTCTTTTTCATCTCTTTGACGCAGAGTCCTTAGCATTATATTGATGGATCGTATGTGCAGAAAGCCTTGAGTCAAACCCATCAAGTCAAACCCATCAAGTCAAACCCTACAAGCTGGATTTAGTATCCTTTTAGAATCCTTCTTCAATTCTTCAGTTGCTTCCTTTTCGTGTGAAGGTTTTAGACATGGAATGGGCGGACTCGCGAGACTCGTGAGTTGCGATGGGAATCGCAATGTCAGCTGCGATGCCTTCACGGAATGTACCTATGTTACAGCGCCGAACCACAAACGAAGATCAGCAACAGAATTCCCCACTACAAAGAAACAAACATCTCAGGCATAGACGAATTTGGAGGTAAACTTCACTCGGGCTCCAATGGAATCATCAGATTGTTGGTCAAGGCCTTGCACACAGAGAACAAAGCTTCGAGATGTGAAGCCTATCAAGCGCTGCGCCGATTTAGTTGGCCGCGCGCTGTTTGGCTTATGCAGATTGTTGAATCAGACAGACTCTTTTACAATGAACTTGCTAGCAGATGCTATGCTTTTGCTGCGCACTGGCGCGGTGCTGTCGCTTTGTTGGTTGAAGCCCGATCCATGCTTCTACAAGGAGGCGAGGACAACTTTTTCAGAGCCAGTAAAACATGTGTCAGAGCTGGGCACTGGGAACAAACGTGACTTGGTTTGTGAGGAGTATTCATGCAGAATTTTTTGTTTTCTCAGTCGTCCTCATGTTGGTAACAGTCACATTAAGAAATCTGTAGCCTCAATGGATCATGGTCTTCCATCAAGGTTGTATCATAATTTGGCCACTCAGGATTGGAGTATTGTCGGAAACATCCTCTCCGTTTGCTTCATCACTTGGAGCCACACCGAAGAACTGGAGCAATGGTTGCTACCGCGATGATGTTGACTATGGTGACTCCTTGTCCAAAAGTTGGCAGCTGCAAAGGATTTGTGAAGAGGAAGCTCGATCATCGCAGTGGCAGCCGGCAATGCTTTTACTGGATTCCCTGCGATGCAGAGGTTTGAAGAATTTGCCACGCGGTGTGTACAGCTCCTGGTTCTTGGGAGCATGTGGTCGTGCTGGAAACTGGGCCTTCAGCCTGGATATCTTTAACAAAATCAAGTCTCCACGACGGCAGGCAATCTTGAATCAGGTGGCCTATGAGTGTCAGCGAGGACGCTCCTGGCTTCAAGCAATTTCCCTCTTGAACGAAATCCGTAGCAGATATGTCAGGTCAATACTTACTGCGTTCGAGAAACTTGGCCATGATCAGATGGCTATGTTTTCCTCTTCAGGTTCAAAACGGTACATGTAGACGCATCTGCTTTACCCTGAGAAGAGAAAAGTTCGCTTTTCCAAAGACTTTCCTAGTGAAATCATGAAAACTCATCTGAGTTTGAGATAATTTGAGTGAATCTGAGCAAAGAGTCAAAGAGCTTGGCAAACTCATGGCTTTTGACAACTTTTCTTTCAGTGAATCTTTCAACCTTCAAGCGTTTCGCCAAGGAAAGTCATGGCTGCCTGCCGTCTCAGTGGCGCCTGGCATCGTGCCTTGACGGTTCTGGATATGGCGCTTTCTGATGGGCATTTGCCAAGGAACAAGAGCCACGGCGGTCACGGCAGCGTCTGTGTAGATCTGTGTAGATCTGTGTAGATCTGGGATCCAGAAGTTTGCTGGGCTGCAGAGAATAATAGCCTGTAAATTTCATTGCCACGCATGGTTTTGTCCATGGAAAAGACTTGACCATGATGTTTCTGAAAGCACTGCGGTGAACTCTGGGCGATTCAAGACGGATCCAACGTGCCACAGGGGATATTTTCACAATGATATCGTTGTTCGAAGTTGAAAGGATGTTTCATATCCAACCATATCCAACGGATAGATACGGATAGGACCAAATAGGATGGGGCGATGTCCGCAAGATTATCACAAGTTCTTCTGCCATAGGATGGCACTGGAAGGGATTCTGGATGAGTCATTTATATGCTTCTTGAGAGAGTCCTGGCCATGCCAGAAGATGCTGTCCGACAACTTGCTGGAACAACCCGACTTGAGCTGGTTGGAATCATAAGCATAAATTGAGGTTGACTGAATCATAATCATAAATCATAGACATTTATGATGAGCCCTTTGTGATGCTGTTACTTCCACTGGCTGCACCAAGGACCTGTTCTGGTGCACTGAGCGCCTGCAGAGAAGGGCGTCAATGGAAGATGGCAGCGCAGCAGTTTGACCAGATGCAAAGTCGATGGCCCCTCAGCTTTGGGGAAAATGACTTGTGTTCCCTTCTGTTGAAAAATTGAGATGGGGGTTGATGGGGGTTGCAAGCCGGTTTCCTGGGAACCTTTTGGGACATGACAGACATGATCACACTTCGAGGATGTGTTGATCCTATTGTAGAAAAGCAGGTGGCCAGAAAGCACCGAAGTAATTGCAGAGTTGTGGAAGTGCGAGTGGCAGTGGTTGTTGTCGTCATCATGGTGGGAGGAGGAGGGATTTTTGTTCCCTGTGAATGCTGATAATGAATATGGTCTTCAGTTTCCGGTTTTCGCATTCCGCAGAATTCGACAAATAAAGCGGGCAAGAGGCTTTTGCGACCTCATCCAGAAGCTTACAATCCGTTGATCGAAGCTTGCAATCGGGCTGGAGAATGGCGGGCATGTATAGCCTACTTAAGGCTGATGTCAAGAGATGCAACTTGGCTTTTGGTGTCCGTGTAGGTTTGGCTTTGTCTCCATTTTGATCATTTTGTCTCATAATGCTGCCGGTACCAAAATATGTTGGATCATTTTTGAGAGCAGCGAAGAATCGGGCTTCTTGAGCAATTGACGTTTGTCACAAGTGGTGAAACCTTGTCTTCACCGCATCCGCTCCTTTTAAGGAATTGACACCGGACATCGTGGGCTACTCGTCTGCTGCCCGGGCATTGCTGGAGAACAAGAAGACTGACATGACCATGGAGCTTCTAAAGGAGATGCAGCTTCAACGTTTTGACATCAATCCATTTGTTCCTCAGCTGCAGGCTGGAGCGCTTGCACTGCCTGGCAGCTGAAAGATTGGCATATGTATATATATATATATAACAGTTATATAACTGTATAATATATATATAACTGTATATATATATATAACTCTATATATATAATATGATATGGTATGATATGATATCATATTATACTTATATTTACATCTAACACATTGCTGGGTAGCAGGCAGATGAATTTTAGATATGCCTTGTGCTCGAGAAGTTCCCAAGTCATACTTATGTTTGTTGGGTACCCATTCAAACTTTTGCTCGCAGATCATTTAAGGCGCCCATTGTCTTCACAGCATCATTGAAGCGGAAGGGATGCAACTGGCTCGAATCAGCCGTTCTACTGTAGCCCGGCTCCACTTTCATGGCTTGCGAGGATGGCACCTCCAGTATGCTAGCCACTGCAAGTTTTTTTGTGGCCCCCCCGAGTGACACAACATGACAATCCATGTTTGCAATTGCCCAGTCTCCAATGTCTTTGATGAATTACCTGCATTTATGTTTGTGAACTATTGGGTATTACTTGAGCAACAGTCTCCTTCACTGCGAAGTCAGTCCAGTTGGAGATGAAGACAGAAAACTCAATCAGACTGAGGGTGTCGTTGGTGGGGACTTCTCTGCTTGGATGATGTGCAACCCTGTTAGAAAGTGTTCAATAACCAGCAACAATCTATCTCTCTATCTACCTACCTACCTATCTACCTACCTACCTACCTGCCTGCCTGCCTACCTACCCGCTTACCTACCTACCTATCTATTTGTCTGTCTATCTATCTACCTTTCTATCTATCTAGGTATCTATGTACCTATGTATCTATATACAGACATACATTTTCGCATATATATATATATATATGTATATAGATTTTATGTATAGATGTTTATATGATTTATACGTCTTCTATCTTCTATACAAAACTGATATAACTAGGGTTTATCCCATTTATAGGGTAATACTATAGTGATCCACCAAACCGGGTCAATTTCAGGTGGCTATGATCTGACGCCAGGCATCGCTTTCACCACTTTGGCTGTCGATTGGACATGAAGATGATGACGCAATTCGCCTCAGCAACACGTGGCGGTGGCTGCAGTGGTGGTGAGTGGCTACGGACTTTGGAGCTTTCTATGGATCCTTGGCAATCCAATAGGCAATCCTTGACTGGTTGGTTTTGTATTTCAAGGAGTTTCAGATGCAAATACTTGGCACTTGTGCCTGATCCATCTCGTTTTCAGGCCACTATGGCTGCTCAGAGTTTGGAGGTGGATGTTGCAGCCTTGAATTTGGCCATTGGAACTTCTTCAGCAGCCTCTTTCTCAGTGCTCAGAAGGGGAGTTTCATCATGGTGCCGAAATCTTCGGAACAACCAACATTTGCTTGGTTTGAAAGATATCCAATCTTTGTTTCTAAGACACTGGAAGGGCGCAATTGCGTGCTGATGGTTTAGACTTCAAGAATGTGCCAAATGGATCATACAGACTCCAACTCACTTGGTGTAACACCAGGACACGAAAGGGTGAAGTGATTGATACAAAGAACATGTTGTGGACCTGGGCTGGCTTTCTGAATGCAACAACTACACCATTATCGAAGGAAGTTTAGAAGTCAAACTTCCGACAATATGGACAGATGAAAAGCAGAGATGGGAAGAGTCAGAGAAGAGGAGAAGAAGAAAGAAGATCAAAAAAGAGAAAGTCTCGGAAGAAAGAAGATCCAGGTGCGCGAAAAGGTAGGAAAGTCGCGAAACACTGTTTTTCCAATGGTTCATGGCTCCGGAGGGTCGAAAAGTAGGCTCGCTAAAGCGGCGGATGCGGAGCCATCTGGCCAGATGAGAGATGAAAAATTGCACGCCGTTGTGGCGCGAAGCACATTTGGAAGTCAAAATGTACAAAGCACCTCATGTTTGGACCACTTCTGGAAGTTGAGATGTCGAAAAAGTGCATGCCGTTGTGGCGCGAAGCATTTGGAAGTCAAAATGCACAAAAACCTCAGTGTCGGAGCACTTTTGGAAGTTGAGATGTTGAAAAAGTGCACGCCGTTGTGGCCCTGAGCACATTTCCAAGTCAAAATGTACAAAGCGCACCATGCTCGGACCACTTTTGGAAGTTGAGATGTCGAAAAAGTGCACGTCGTTGTGGCCCGAAGCACATTTCGAAGTCAAAAGTGGTAAAAACTGACGGGTTTGGACCAGTTTTGGAAGTTGAGATGTCGAAAAAGTGCACGCCCTTGTGGCGCGAAGCACATGCCGAAGTCAAAAGTGGAAAAAACTGAGGGGTTCGGAGCATTTTTGGACGTTCGGATGTCATTTTGCGTGGCAGACACAAGGGATTCTGCACCTTGCCAAAAGTGAGCAAAACGTGATGGTTCTGTAGCAGTTTGGACTATACAACCACCACTACACTACACGACACTCCACTACACTATACTACAACTACAACTACAGCTACAACTACAACTAGAACTACACTACACTACTGGTACACTACACTACACTCAATTACACCACACCACACTACACCAACTACAGCTACAACTACGACTACAACCACTACTACAACTACTACTACATTACACTAAACTAACACTACACTAATTACACTACACTACACTACACTCCACTTCACTACAGCACACTCAATTATACTGCGCTACACTACACTACAACTACAACTACAAACGCAACTACCACTACAACTACCACTACAACTACACTACACTACACTACACGACACTACACTAACTGGATAACACTACACTAATTGCATTGCATTACACTACACTACACTACAATACAACTACAACTACACTACATTACACCACACTACACTACACTAATTACCTTACACTGCACTGCACTACACTACACTACACTACACTCCATCACACTACACTCCACTCCACTCCACTCCACTCCACTCCACTCCAGCACACTACACTACACTACATAACACACTACACTACACTACATTCAATGACACTTCACTTCACTGCACTGCACTGCACTGCACTACACTAACTACAACTACAACTACAACTCCAACTACAGTACACAACGCTACGCTACGCTACGCTACACTGCACTAATTACATTACACTACACTACACTACACCACACCAAACCACACTGCACCACACCACACCACACCACACCACACCACACTACACTACACTACACTAATTACATTACATTACACTACGCTGCACTACTCTACTCTACTCTGCACTACACTACACTACGCCACACCACACCACACCACACTACACTGCACCACCCCACGCCACACCACACCACACCACACGACACGACACGACACTACACTAACTACAACTACAACTACAACTACAACTACAACTACAGCTACAACCACGCGAGACTACGCGCCACTACAATGCCCTACATTATTACATGACGTCAGTACACCACCACAGATGCAATTGCAATTGCACGACGCTAATTACACTACACCACAACTACAACTCCACTACGCTACAACTACAACTACAGCTGCACTACACCACACTACATCCAGCAGTTGTGGGTGAGGTGACCGACCAGGTGACCACTGCAACCATTGTAACCACTCCAGAACACACAACTCCAACCACTTCTCAGTCCATCAGTGAATTCGCTCTGCCATCCGTGATTCACAACAACCAAGCTCTCCTATAGGTTTCCTATTCTGAAGCTTCCGCCACCGCCTTGTGCGGCACTACTGGGATATATAGCTTGAATTAGATTATGTTCTACTAAATCCGACTTCCGTCCCTTAGGCCTCTGGCTGGCAGAAGGCCAATGAACTCCTAGGCCGGGATGGTAGAACTGTGCCAGGATTCCCATGTCAGGTTGGATAGACATGCCCATGTGCATCGTGTGCATGTCAAGATGCGTCAGCATGTTGTGTCTGTACAAAACCATAGGACGTTGTGACCCATGGATCTACTCAGGTCTTACAGCGTCTTACAGTCTGAGTTTGACCAAATTAGGAGCATTGGTGAGACACCTGCAGCGGATCATACAACCTTGTGCAGCATGTGCTAATCATGTACTACAGTAAGTTTCTCAGCTGTGTCTGCAGGTTGGTCTTTGCGGAACCAGCTTCTTGTCGATGAAGTCACCCTGGCATCGTCTGTTGGTTTGGTGCAGGTCTGCCAGCGTCTTCTGGTGCGTGCGTTCAGCTGTGAATTTACCATCGCATAAACCAAATTGTTTGAAACTGACAGTCAGCACTGTCCGCAGTTGTTGAAATCTGTTGAAGTATTTGGGCATTAAGTTGCTGTCATCGGAAACCTTTTCTCATGTCCGCCATTTGCAGGTTCGGACAACGACAGTGCAGGTGGGGTGGACAAGAACATGGCACACACCACGGATGATCAGTGGGCATGCAGACTTGGACGTCGTTTGCGCATGGCATGTTGGTTGCTTACAGGACCGTGGATGGAACCTGTGGACTTTGGAACAGTGACGGGATGTGACAGGGTAAATCATCTTTGGTCTTTGAATCTTTCTCCCTGAAGTGCCCTGAAACCAAGTCTCGTGAAATCTTGGGACATCTCACATGGCAGGCAAATGCTTGGTCTCGTGCGATGTTGATGCTTCAGAAACAAGGCTGGCTGCAGTCTGCGAATTTACTGCTCCTAGCAGTTCCTTTATGGGACCAGATGCAGACTGAGAGCAGTTTTTCTCTTGCAGAGAGGATGGGTGGATGAGCTGTCCCCAATGCAGAAACTCGTTTTTTGCACCCAGGGTTCCCAACAAATCCCTGAGATACCAATCAGGCATCGACAGCAGGCTCCTGCACGTTGCTGCTCTCAGCTCGTGTTGCAAGGCCAGGTGAGCAGTGCAACAGAAACCCATGGCTCAGTTTATGATCAAAAAGGGGTTACATGCTTACACTTTTTACATTACCCTTTACATATTAGGGATCATTATGAATCATAACCTTTACATAGTTGGGTTCACCACCACAAGGGATGGACATTGATTGGCTGACGTTTGTGCTGCCCTGAAAGGGTCTCGGTTGGAGCAGCGCGCTTGGTGTTCTATCCGTTGCTTAGCAGTACTGGGCTGGAGATGTGGGGGCAGCTTGCAGCTTTTTTTGGGTTTCAGTCGGTTTCAGTGAACAAATGCTGCATTGGCTTCCACAACTTGTGCGTTTGCGAAGCTTTTTTGCTGCAAGCCCGCCAAGACTTGGAAGTTGGAAGGATCTAACATGATATTATGGAGGTTTCCTAAAATAGGGGGTACCCCCAAATCATTCATTCTAATGGTATTTTCCATTATAAACCATCCATTTGGGGGTACCCCCATCATCCCCCATCTATGGAACCCCCCATATATTTCCAGTTGAGTCAGCCGCGCACTGCACCAAATTTGAATTCAAGCTGGGCGCTGAGGACATGCGCAGCGGCAGCATCCGCCTCGACATCAGCTCCTTCAACTCTCTGCTGGCTCCTGAGGGAACCCCGCAACAACTGGGATTATCATTTAACAATGATTAACCATGTTCAACAGAAACTCATCAATTTGTCAGTGCATTTACCATTTACTGCAATTCGCAGCTTTTCGTTTTACAATTTGCCTTGTTGCTTTGACCACTGACAAATGTGAATCAGCGACCATTCGCACTTTGGTCGAGTTACCAAAGCAGCGATTTGCCGCCAGCATTTGTGGGGAGGTTTACTGCACTCGAAGGGAAGCGTGACAGGATGTTGTGCAGCTTCAATGAGGCTTCGAGCCTGTCAAAAAGGACAGCTTTGGTTGAAAGTTTTCAGCTTGTGCTGCAGTCTCGCTTACCTTGGGATATGCACAGCTTCTGCTGATCATTTTATTGCATCAACTTTTTGCTCATTCCCTTGCCCTGCCAGGGTCGACTGGTCTGGGACCCAGCTCATGAGTTTCAAAAGCCTGCTTCAAACAGAAAAGGAGTATATAGACATTACAAGTATTGCGTAAGCAAAGCGTCCATTGCCATCTTTCAACAACTAATATCACCACAAAATTGTACCGAGGATGCAGGTGAGTGGCTCCTTGCTTCCTGACATTGTGACATCTGATGCCATGGCTGCTTGGTCCCAACTGATCGGCAAGTGCTTCATGCGGTTCATGTGGAAACCATCATCAATATTGCCAGAAATGGTTGTGTAAACCATCCGCGATTGGAGGTTCTTGGCCACAAATGTTTGCCGCATCGCTTCACCCTGAAGGTTGGTGGCTATGGCCGTGCGAATTGGCAGGGCGCCATCCATCATCTTTTCAGTGCAAGGCGGGAGCCAACCACAACAGTTTACGAAGTCCTGCAACCATTCAATTTCCATCTAAGTCCCCAGCGTTTGCTCGGGGTCTCAGCCCAAAGCTTCCGATGCATGTTCTGGAGTGTTTCGGTTTCGGGGTGGTTCCGGATGGCTGGTTTTGAGTTGTTCTGAAGTTTGTTGGTTCAGGTTCGAGAAGGGTTTAGGTTTCGGTGCTTCACCGGCGTCCACACTCGCTGACGTCCCATTTTCCTACACCTTTGTTGGGGATACCACCTGGGCTTATTTTTTACATCACAGCAGCTGCATCTCGTGGTCTATTCCTGGACTTCACTCCTCATGAATCGAAGATTCATTCCTGTGGCACACTCATCAACCGTTCATCAACCTTGTAATTTTCTGTGTTTGCTCCTTCTTCTGGCTGTTCGGGTCGTTGGTCCAAATCTGCTGCAAGCTTGGGGATACATTTGCTAAAGTCATTGAGATCACTTCGCTTGGTAGATTGCGAGCCACTGAGATGATCCGTGAAGTTGGTAAATTGGTGGCTCAAATGGCTCAAATTAGTTCTGAGCCTCAGTGACTGGTAGATTAAGTCACTTGAGGATTACTTAAGGGACATCCCAATACCAATAGTACCTGACAATCCGTGTGTTGACACTGCCTTGGCCCCTCAGCTGAGAAGACATTTGGAAGGCGATCGCGACAAATTGACCGAGCATTAGTCTGCTACGGTATCCAAGTCGTAGGAGAGGCAGAGGAGTTACAGTCCCAGCTGGTAAAACATCTTGAAACTCATCTTGCTGGAATCTTTTAGATTCTTTTGGCAGCTTTTCAGTATGCAGTTTGATGCAGTTTGATGCTGCTCAGTTTGTATCCACGAACAACTGATGGAGTTGGTGTGATGATTTGTCTCCATTTTTCACAGGCTGGAAGGAAAAAGGCGGAGGACCTCAAGCCTCTCGGATTCTGTAGCTTCAGATGTTGGTGTTTGATGACCTTTGTTGATCACTGTTGGTCCATATAGGATCCATATATAGATCCTGTTTGGAAGATGAAGAAAATCTGCTGCAATGGCACTGAGGATGGCCTTTGCTGATTATCTTGGAACTGGCCGGGAGACAAAAACTCAACGCGTCTCACATGGAAGTGGCATGCCGTTGAGCAGTCGTGTGGAGATGCGTCGGAGTTGGAAAAGAGCTCTCGATTCTTTCGATTCTTTCCATCGATGCATTTGCAGCACCGGCATCTTTGAGAAATGATGTGCCTGTACTCGTAGGATAAACATGGATAAACTGCCCAGAAAACCAGCAAGATAACATTAAGTTTGGTTTCTGGCAGGGTTGAACTCTACGAAATCTAAGCTGCTAGTGCTTCGGGCCTCTCCTATAAGCATATCGTATGCATATCCTACAAAGTACCTGTCCTCGGGAGTGTTCCACTCGTAGGGTATCTATGGGTATCTGGGACTTTCTTGTGTGACATCATATTGCGAACCTAGAGTCATTTGGTTGCTGATGTTTGTATATTGGTAGAATTGTGTTTGAATCATATGCATTCTGCATACTGTGAATTATGCAAGTAGTGTCATACATTGTGACAAGTCAGTATGTAGCAAATTAGTGATTCCAAGTCTGTTCGACTAGCACCTGACACATTTCAATAAGTCAGTCTGGTTGTCGCGGCCCCCGCAGTTCTGGCTGCTGCTCATCAGCCTCATCGTTGTGGTTGGGTTTCTCAGAACATTCACCATGCCACGATGGGATTCTCAGCCTTTGATGGGAAATGACGAGGAGGCAGTAAAGGACTAGGAGCATATGCTGGAACTATATTTTTGAAGAGATATCACTGGAGTTGAACTAATTTATGATATTCATGATCGTTGATGTCTCACATGCTCTCAAGCTGCAGAGGCCTGGTTTTTTCCACTGCTGCGCTGAAGACTGCCTTGTGCAAGAGCAGTTCACCGTTGCACCATGGCCGGCTGAAACAGAGTTACAGAGCCAAATGGCCAAACGTGCCTGCAAAGACTCTGCGTGCTGGATTAGACAGAGGCGTTTGCAAAACTGCATCATGTCGTCAGTGAAGATCGCCATTTCCATCTTGCAGAATCCGATTTCCACGGAGACACATTGAACATTATACATTGATATACATTGTACAATTATAATCAATTATACCTGAACTACAGATCACATCTGATCCAATTGATGGCATCTTGACTGATGGCAGTGATCTTAGCCACTGGCTGGTTCCCAAACTTCGCCCCACGTCTGGGCTGTGCTCAAAAAAGGACACCAAGTCGTTGTGCTGACAGATGAATGGAATGAATGGAAGGGTGCTTGGCAATTTGTTATTTGATGTTATTTGCGTGACTTGCCACAGGGAATTGTTCAGAGCCAGTTCGAATTCTTTGGTTTAGCATTGCTTTGTTTTAGCCCATGGTTGATCATCCTTTTCAGAATCAAAATAGTCAGTTTTTGGCACCTCCCATTGCCACATTTCACAAAGCCTGCTTTTAAGCAGGAGGTTTGCCAATAAAGAATCTGTATGGGGATGCAAGTTTTTCAAAGGCTGAATCCAAGTTTGAGAGATTCATATTGTTTTGATCGGTGCGCAAGATTTAGATACATATGGTTTTCAGATGTTTTCAGAATTTGATGGGTCAGCTTACAAGCCAAGGCTACATCGACGACATTCGTTGTACAACATTCCACCCAGTCCCTCCTATTACAGGCCATTCCTGCTTCAACATGGATGCAGCGCCGGTGTGATTTGGAACCCCTTTGGATCAGTGGTGCCTGCCACCATGTCTGCAAAACCCAAGTACTGAAACAATCAAGTACCTTGCGTTGGGATACATTTTAACAAACAACTCAATATAGAGTCTACAGAGTGAAGTGAATCAACGTATAGAAATGAGAGGAAAATTGATAATTTGGCCTGTCACGGCATGTGAAATCCACAATCCAAAGTCCTTGGTCACAATCAAATCTCCCTAATTGCAAACCCCCCTTTGCAATTAAGGAATCAGGGTTTGTAATCCGGGATTTCTCATGTACTTTTTAGTGCCACAAAGCTGTTTTTCGTGGGTTTGACCCTGAGATGTCAGTGTATTGTAATTGTACGCGCTGACACCACCAATAATTCCAAGGGGATGATTATAACATTACCATCTTCCCCATGACCCCTGAAAGATACATATCATTACCATTTAGGTTGGGGGGGTTGGGGGGGGGTATCCTGAGTGTTCATCATCATTACATGCCAGATTCTTCCCGGTCCGGGCAAACGATGGCGTTTGACCGTAATTGTACTTTGGGCCAGTCGGAGTGGAACACGCTGACAGCTAATCAAATTTCATGTGAGATTGCAGCAAAGCTTGTGCCTCAATAGTTTTTGAATGGAAGAATTGGGTTAATGCGAGTGTTTGTAAATCCAGTTCCAGTGACCCCTAAAAGATAAAACAGTAATTCAAAACTATTTTAGCGGGATTTGATTTCTTCTACCTCATTGGGGATAAAACTCTGCGCTGGAGTCCCCTTTTTTGGATGCTCAAAACTACGTAACCACAGTGTGAGAATCAAGCTGGTGGTGCAGGTGTCCATGAAGGATTTAATAGCTTGAGGACACGTTGGCCCATGAAGATATTCTGTCCGAGTGAGTCAAATCAGCAATTGTAGGGTTCACGCTTTGCGGACAGTCAACACTGTCATTAGCCAGATCCCTGCCCGAGTTAGGCAGAACCTGTCTTCTTATACAAGGCTCCCCAGGAGGGGCTTCAACCCAAGATATGCGGAAAACAGCAAGCCTCACTGTGTAATAACCCCCAACCGCTTTAATAGGGTTCAAATCGAAGGTTGTGGCTCTGAAATGCTGCAAATTGCATGCAAATAGAATGCAAATGGGAGGAGGTGGGAGTGTTTTACCATGGTAAGCCTGACCGCCCCCCTTAAAAAAAAGAAGCGGGGGGTCAGGTTGACCACGATTAAAGGAGTGACTTACCAAGAGCGTTATCCCAAGAGTGTCTCACTAAGAGTGTCTTACTAAGAGTGTCACTCCAAGAGTGTCCTCGTAAGAATGTCTCACTGAGAGTGTCTTACCATAAGGGTAGAAAAATGGTTAGTGGTTATATAATGGTTAATGGATGGTCTACCTGGTAATTCATTAACTTAATAATGATTGGTGACAACGGTGACATGTCGTACCAAGAGTGTCGAGAGTGCCACTCCAAGAGTTTGGGTGCCCTTTTGGATGTGACAATGGCGTAAACAAGAATAGTCGCAGACACCGACAGTGTCACGTGTTGAACCCGACTTGCCCTGTTTTTTCAAAAATACGAGGACTCACATTCAAAGGGTGACAGCGTCTTTTTTTTGTGACTTTTGTCGTGGTGCGTTAGCTTTGTTGAGCACCATAGTATATGCTCCTTGTAGTATGCACTCATACATACACATCTACATGTACACATTACTTATATATGTATATCACATGTACAGAATGGTTCCCTTGCGGGGCTGGTTTTTATCCCCTCTCTCTCAGGTATGTATATATATATATGTAATGTAATGTAATGCAATGTAATGTAATGTAATGTAATGTAAGGCAATGCAATGTAAAGTAATGTAATGTAATGTATGGTATGTATGTATTATACAATACGTTGTCACTTTGGTTTGCAACCGCAGTGGGCTCAGAGTGCCTAGTCGAATGAAAGATTTTCATGGCAGACGCCCCGCAAGAGTCTGACATGGGTACCCTGGGCTGCCCGCTCCGGGGAACGCCGTGGGTTGGGGGTTCTGAATTGGGGGACGCCCCAAGTTATAATGATTTTAACCATCACATGTTTGAAGACTTTGGGTACCTGATTTTCAGAGAAAAACATTTCAGCAAAAGGATCCAATGCACGATAGTATAAGGATTAATAAAGTGTGTGATGCCCAACTGACTATCTATTGCAGAGGCTTGCTTTTACGTGCTTCCTATATAGACACCACTGAATTTTGATTTCTTGAGTTCATCCCACCGAATTCATGGCCAGGTGGTGATCATAGTCATAGCCATGACTTAGAGCAGCCTTTGATGGCCAACAAGGATCGGGGCCTCAGGGTGAAGTTGGCCCAAGAAGCAACATTTTGCGATGGTGTCGAGCATAGGGAGTGTGTAGGAAAAGGGGAAAGCGAAGTGGACGTTTCATCATTGTTTTCAGGGAAACTTTACAGGAAACCCTTCATTCTCAAGGGAAAATCATGATTTTGTAGCCTTCCCTTTCAAATCCCAATGATCACGAAAACTAGCTTCTGCTAGCTGAAGTCCCTCTTGCTTTGGCAAGGTATTTAGGGGGCTGGAATCTCCAATATCAAAACTTCATACTTAACTAACTACCCACCGTCCCCCCCCCGGCTGGCTGGTTCACAAGCAGTTTGGCCGTGGCTCAATCCCCCGCGGGGACACCGTCGTCATGTCGCCACCGGCAGCAAATTCGGCAGCATCCGCATCCTCAGCATCATTGTGTTTTCATGCCAAATTCCCTGCCAAGCTAGCTTTCGTCCCTTACTCCTGGGCCTCAAGTTTCAGGCATAGAAACAGCTTTGAAACTCCCACACCGTGCCAGGATGAACCAAAACCGATTCAGAAACTATCTGCGATTCAGAAATTACGATTCAGAAATTATTTCCAGCGATTCAGAAACTATAGTGATTCAGAAACTACGATTCAGAAACTATGGCGATTCAGAAACTATCACGATTCAGAAACTTGCGCGGTTCAGAAACTCTCACGATTCAGAAACTAGTATTCAGAAACTATCATGATTCAGAAAGTAGGATTCAGAAACTATCTCCACCGATTCAGAAACTATCGTGATTCAGAAACTATCACGATTCAGAATCTACGAATAAGAAAACAGGATTCAGAAACTATTTCCTCCAATTTACACAACTAACGCGACTCAGAACCTCGCGCTTCAGGAGTTCAAAATTATATCAAATGCCCACCCCTCATGGAGCTTCAAATTGACTTGGTCTGTCCACAAGGATAAGATGATATCAAAATTCCCACCCCCATGGAACTTCAAATTGATATTGAATGTCCATGCAAGAAAAACATGATCGAAATTGCAACCCCCATGGAACTTCGAATTGACTTGGTCTGTCCACAAGGATAAGATGATATCAAAATTCCCACCCCCATGGAACTTCAAATTGACTTGGACTGTCCACAAGGATAAGATGATATCAAAATTCCCACCCCCATGGAACTTCAAACTGATATTGAATGTCAATGCAGGAAAGACGTTGTCAAAATTTCCACCCACATGGAACTCAAAATTGGCTTGGGCTGTTCACAAGGGTAATATGGTATCAAAATTCCTACCCCCATGGAACTTCAAATTGACTTGGACTGCCCACAAGGATAGGGTGATATCAAAATTCCCACCCCCATGGAACTTCAAATTGACTTGGACTGTCCACAAGGAAAAGATGATATCAAAATTCCCACCCCCATGGAACTTCAAATTTGACTTGGACTGTCCACAAGGAAAAGATGATATCACAATTCCCACCCCCATGAAAGTTCAAATTCATATTGAATATCCATACAGAAAGGATATTATCAAAATTCCCACCTCCATGGAACTTCAAATAGACTTGGACTGTCCACAAGGAAAAGATGATATCAAAATTCCCACCCCCATGGAACTTCAAATTGGCTTGGACTGTCCACAAGGATAGGATTACATCAAAAATCCCACCCCCATGGAACTTCAAATTGATATTGAATGTTCATGCAGGAAAGACGTTATCGAAATTGCCACCCTATGGAACTTCAAATTGACTTGAACGGTTCACAAGGGTAATATGATATCAAAAATTCCCACCACCATGGAACTTCAAATTGACATTGACTGTCCACAAGGATAAGATGATATCAAAATTCCCACCCCCATGGAACCTCAAATTGTTTCTTTGCTTGGAACTTGTGGAGGGCAAGTAATGTTTTGTCGATATAGTTGCCAAAATGGCTATGCCATTTTGGCTCAAGTCCTCCCCTCGCTTTGAACAGATCGAAAAAGCGTACTTGCCCTCTTGTTCTGACCATGGCTTCTTCGAGCCCTGTGGCCAGTGAGTCGGCGACCCTTGACTCGATCTCCATCGTTGGCATGGAATCCACGACCGGAGAGGACTACCTTCTCATTGATTTTGTGTCTGATGCTGAGGCTGCGCCGGCCGAGGCCACCACTGTCGACGACTTCGACCGGAACATCACGAAGGCCGACCTAGACGCTCAACTGGCTGAAATGCAGCGTGTCATGGCGGCACTTGGACTGGAGGCAAAACAGGCCCCGGGGACGGAAGCCCAGGGCTCCGAACCTCCAGCTGGTTTTGTCCCCGCTGCGGTGTCCGAACCAGCCCAAACTCTCCACAAGCTGGAGCAGGAGGTGCTGTGTCTTATCATGGACAAGGACAAGGGCACCTATCTCATCGAAGGTTGGGAGACAGTCATTCGTCCTCTGCCGGAGTCCTCGGCTCGTTTTGCGAGGGTCATCACTCATGGGGAACTGACAGCATTGCTCTCTGAATTCAAAGGTTCATCATGGACGGCAACTTTGGTGGCGAAGATCCTGGAGATCTATGTGATCGCCAAACGCTCGGCAGAGCACACGGAGATGTGGAAGGTGAAGCACACATCGCAGCGTGGTGGATCCATGGACACCTTGAATGAGCAGGACCCGGGGAAGGCGCCTTCTTTGGTCTGTTCGGATTGCAATGCACCATGGGGAACCTTCTCGAAATGTCTCTTGTGCAAGGGCACCACCCCCATTGACTTGACCTCTACGCCACTTTCAGTCATTGAGGTTGAAGGGAAAACTTGGCAACTGCGGTTACTGAGGCTGGCCCGACTTGGGTCCTGCAAGATGCTAAGGTCACTAAGGACGCTGGCTATATTGAAGTAGGAGACCTTGGCCGACCCCCACCGGCAGCAGCCTCTTGTGCTGACCCGGGGTTGGTCAGTTTCTCGGAACAGGTACCAGTGTCCCAACGTCTGACACTCGGGCAGCATGTCGAGACCTTTGGCAAGGACGAGATCTTCCACCCAAAAGGAGAACGCCCTCCAACTTTAGAAGAACAAGATGAGACTCAGTCCGCACTGATCTTCCATCCCAAGGCTATCCAGGTGGTCCAGCTCAAGGCGAACCTCCTGGCCACAGAGGCTACGGACCTGGATGAAGCAGCCCAGGAAAAGAAGCGGCAGAAGCTTGCGGAACAAAGAGCGCAAGAGGACGTGGACATGGACAAGGAACTCCAGGTGATGCATGCGCTGCAGCAAGGCGCACACTCCGTCCAGAGTGCTCCTGGGGCGAAGCTACTCCGCCGTGTGGATTTAGCAACAGTTCCGCTCCTTTTTGAAAAGGAAACACGAAGAGAGCGGTGCGACGGCCTCGTACTCAGCCCTTCTCTCTGCACAGGCGTCAGAGAGCCAGGCCATGGCGGCAAACAAAGCCCTTGACGAAGAATTCAGGGCGAAAAAGGCGCTCCTGAGACCCTTGGAGATGGGGTCCTTTTCTTTGTGGCCGTTGGAACTTCAGCAAGCATGGCAGGGGAATCTCTTCGCCCCAGCCCAGGCACCTGTCGGTCCAGACCAGTATGACTTCAACAGTTTGAAGACATCATATCTGGCAATGAAAGAGATCTTGAAGGACAACAGATGTCCGATTCCCGGACGCCGGTTGATGCAGGCTTTCCCTGCTACCAAGTTGGGCTTGTATACATACGCTGAAGGGACTGAGTCTTCTCCTGAAGGACGCCTAGCTCGTCTCCTACCTGAAGACAGCGCAGAGCGCAAGTTTGCTGTGCTTGACTTGATTTTGTCCTACCACACGGGAGAAGTCCGAGCATGTGGAGGCACCTGGGAGCTGCAGCAAGGAGCACTGGATCCACCATCCGGGGCGAAAGCGGGAGCCTGGTCGGAATTGCTTGCCTTGGAACTGCGCACCGATCCATTGGGGGTGACTGACCACGTGCCGACCACCTACACGGAGAAGGAAGTGCTCGACCAGATTGCGGGAGGACAGCGCCCTGACCTGCAGAAGATCCTGGGCTTCTTCTGCGCTCCGGGTAGCCAATGGCACTGACCAGACCCACTACGCGCGGAAGGTGCAGTCCTGGGACCTTCCATCAATGATCACTATCCTTGGGCATTCTTGGACGTTCAAGGAGATCTACCAGGTCTGATCTGCTGATGCCCCTGTTGGTCAAGCCAGATCGCAGGGGGACCGGGGAGGGCATCAAGCAGAAGAAGTCCTCCGAGATGGCGGCCCACAAGGCCAAGACAGCGGAGATCAAATCATTTCTCTCCAGTGTGGGCCTTCGGTACCCACAGACGCAGGCGGAAGTGAAGCTCCTGTACAAGGAGATGGGCATCTTTATGGCGGCCTCAGTCTTCCTAGCACGCACCCCGGCCACGGTCCCGGACCTGCCGGAACAAGGAATCCAAGACACGAAGGAGCAAATGAGATTCCGAGCTGTGTGTGATGAGCGTATCACACTCCCACTTGAGGCCTTTGGGAACCTGGCGACAAGCTGGCCGCCGCCCTGGGCACCCACAGTGTGATCGACGTGCAAGTGGCATGGCGCTGCAATTGTGAGTTGTGGTGGGTGGCCCTGGTCCCTCATGATGACGCGGAGGCCTTCTACAAGCACCTGGGCTATGGCTAGGAGGAGACCGACGGCTTCATGCGAGGAGCGCTGGGAGCTGGGGTGAATCAGGCTGCTCCGGTAGCCTCTGGCACCGAGAAGTATCCTGCGCTCTCTCCCTGGCCAATGTGAGTTCAATCTGCAACCTAAAGTGCAAGAAGGACCACTTTGGCAGCAAGTATGTCCACGCGTTTTGGGGACACTCTGATTGCGGCCTCATCCTCAGCAGCATTAGTCCATGGGAATTGAAGGTCAAAGAGGCGGGGGTGACCCGCGGTGGCTGGACATGCAAGGCGTGTCAAGGCTTTTGGAAACAAGGACGGGGAGCAACCGATGGTGACTTTCCAATTGATTTTGGACGAACCACCATCCAAGCTCTATGAGGACTGGGTGAAG